CCCTCTCTTTCTGCCGTGACCCAAGGCTCCACTCGGATTGGTTACCGCATCTCGCACATGGGTTGCTCACGTTGCCCAGAGTGCGCGAACGAGGACGCAAGAGTCGCAGCGCAATGACTATACCCCATTGCACTCCACTTATTTACTTACCATGTTGAATTTCTTACTCTGTTACATACACATTTATATTAATGCTACATATATTAAGCTCATTTTTTTATATCTTGTACATCTTGAATACTTCACTTGGATTAAAGTCTTTGAACCAAATAGATGTGTGGCATTTATTGGTCGGCCAACTAGGAGATTATTAACAACAGTTTCCAAATCTTAGTTGAGGCAACCACGATTTGGTTTGAGAGCGGAACATATTCATGCTTGTGAGCCACCCCTAAAGAATGCTGACCGCTCTCTGAGCACATGTGTGTTTCACATACGAAGAGCGCCAGCTGAGCAATGCACACAGTCCCACTCAAGGCGCATCAATACAAGGTGGAGTTGATTGATCAGCTGGTAGGATATTTTTGTCTCTACACCAGTACAGGAGAATGTCATCCAAGACGAAGTGGCGCAAGTTTAGGATGTCCAAAAAACGAAATGACGAAAATTATCTCCTATTCCCTTTCGTTTTGACATCCTCCTGTACCAAAAAGCAATAACAAAATACACGGGACTTTGTATGGATGCGCCTTGGTCCCACTTATTGAATGTTNTTGAAATCAGTCATTTGAAGGTGTTTACACTGCTTGATCCGCATTTGCTTTGACTTCTCATCAAATGAAAAGGGAAGACAAAAACAAAATGTATGTAAACAAACACTACATTTATTATATTGTTAACGCTTTTTGGACACAAAAAGGCAATTATTCTTTGATTAAACTAAAAATGTGTAAAGCTCTTGTATAAATTAACAATTTTTACACACAAATTTCAAAGATTTATTTATTTCGTTGTGTTTGTTTTGTGTTTGAAAAATTCCAAATGTCAAAGACAAACCAAAGCTTTTGTGGAACTTTTGTTTCTGAGTGCGTTCAATAAAATAGTACGGCAATTGGAACGCATTTGTTTCGTGATTTTGTGTAAATGCGTCGAAATGCGTCATTCTGGAAATGTGAATTTGTATGGAGAAATGCGTGATTTGGCCTCGCATTTGAGATTTCTCGCCCAAATGACGCATTTGGGCTCAATGTAAATGTAATATAAATCTCCTCCCTCTTAAAATTAAATGTCCTTATTTACAATTTGGACTCTAGTAATTTTCGTTTTCTTCCTTCATGGTCTTTTTGACATTGTATTAGTGCTCTTTGATAAAGTATATTCCTTCTCTTTACTCTAAATTCTAATAATAGTTTGGTTATTGTGATTAATAGGGTTATAATTAATATAGTTATAAATGTAGCCTTAATTGGATTTTGTTCAGTTGGTACAAATATGGATGATATTTCGTCTAGATTATTGAACTTGTATTCTGATTGAGATTCTAAGTATTCTAATATACCTAAATTTTCTTTATGCATTTTATGGAGTCTTTTTACCATAGTTTCCTTAATGTTTATATATTCTTCATTATTTAATGTTATATTGGTTTTGAAATAAATTGAAAAATCTCCATCTAAAATCTCGTTGTTTAATATATTTAATCCGCTAAGAATAATGTTTCCGTTACCATAATTAATAAAGGTTGGATTCTTTTCTTTTATCATTTTACATTGAGCATTATTTTTCTCTAATATTTGTATTGTACATTCGTCCCTTTTATTCTGCTTACATATAGTTTTATCTATAAAATCTTTACATTTATTCTCAAGTAGCACACTGGTGCATAAATTGGTGTAGATATCCGAATTTCGGTATAAATCTGATTAATTGCACCAAAATTCACAAATTTACACCAAGTTATACACCAGTGTGCTACTTGAGTTGATTCTTACGTATTGATTTCCTTTGCATAAAGCAATATTTTTATCCATAATTAATTTTCCTTTTTTTGAAGCTAATGAGTGGATGTAGAATTGTTCACATTTTTCTTTGATTTTTGGGTATTTGTAAACTGTTACAAAGATTTGTTTGAATTTAACAATTTTAATTTCTGCATATTCTAAAATATTTATGGTTAAAACATTTGTTTTTTCTTTCGCAATGATTTCTGTGATTTCTTCTAAGTCTAATGAAGTTGACAGGAAGTTGTTATTTTTTGCTAAATTAATTGTAGTTAGGAGAGTATTTAGTTCATTGTAGACTTCTGTGAGTATTAATTTTTCAGAGAAATCCTTGGGGTTTAATTTCTTTAA